GCCAAACTTTCCATTTTGATTTTCTCGAGCTCGGTTTGAACCATATTGTACTGAGGACTTTTCCTCCATACTTTGAACCAATCGATCTCGGTCGTCGCGCCGGGCGCGTCGCCGATGACTTCGAGCATCCATTCCGCGGGATTGGCGTCGGCCGGACAAGGACGCGCACCATTACTCTCGAAGTATTTCGTCAAAGTCTCTGCTTTCTGTCCAATATCACCGAAGTACACAGTCTTTCCTCCCGGTGAGAGTAAAAGCAGACGGTCGAATTGCTGGAAAAGCATCGATGATGGTTGATGGATGGTGCATAGAACGGCTTGACCTACTTTGGTGAGCTTCTGTAGCAGGTCCAGGATAGCCCAAGAGGTTTGAGAATCAAGGCCAGAAGTTGGCTCATCAACAAAAAGTAACAACGGCGGCTTAGCCACAAGCTCAATGGCAATTGTAAGACGCTTCCTTTGCTCAATATTGAGACCCTCACCAGGCAGACCAATAATAGCATTGGCATACTCACTCATATCGAGCATATCTATGATCTCTTCCACATATGCCAGCTTCTCCTCGCGAGGAACATGGGATGGTTGACGAAGAACAGCACTGAAGTTCAAGGCCTCTCTGACAGTTGAGGTCTGTAGATGGAGGTCTTGTTGCTGCACATATCCTGTTTTTCTCTGAAAGGACATGTCTCGAGGCCGGCCATCAACGAGCATCTCGCCAGTAATTACGCCGACCGAGATTCGATCAGCTAAGCAATCCAATAGACTGGTCTTGCCGGCGCCGGACACGCCCATCAAGGCAGTCAAGGTACCGGGCTTAACCCAGCCATCGACGTGGTCAAGAATACGACGTGTGTCTTTCTTGATCTTGATGTCGTAGCAGACATTGTGCCACTGGAAGATAGACTTCTGTTGTTGAAGCCCCTTTCCCTGAGCAAAATTATTTCGCCCTCTCTTGCCGGCGGTGACAGGCCCTCTGTCCGGCCCAGAAGCCTCGAGATCTGCATAGCCATAATCCCTCCAAGGATTTCTAGTCGACACAGGCTTTTGGCTGCGTGGATAAACGAGCACTTCTCCCTTTGACTTTTTCTCAGAAATCAGCTCGGCCGCGACAAGATAACAGCCGAAGAGCAAAACCGTAAAAAGGATCATGATCCCAAAGTTGCGCCAGCGGTTGCCCCATTCATAACCGAATGTCGCGCTGGCATAGTCGTCTCCCAGAACGAAGTCCTTACCAGGCCGTGCGCCGACTGAGTTGCACACCTGGCTTTCACTTTCCACACTTGCATACTCGGGGAAATTGCGATTGGGAACAAAGTTGTTGCATTTGAACTGCCGGTTATGGAATTCATTGACAACCAGAGACTCGAATGCGTAGGCTAGCGGATCGATGTAGTTTATCCATCGGCACCAGCCCAGCATATAGTTTGTTGGGATGACAAAGCCAGTGAAGATGATGAGGTTGAGCATCAGAATTCCGGCGGGGACGAGAGCTTGGAAGAGTGAGCGAGCGACTGAAGCGATTGTTCGAAATATCATAGACATGACCAAGACTGTGGAAAAGGAGATGAGCAGGAAGAAGAAGAAAGGGCCCGGCTCTCTCCTCAAATTGGTCATGAAGTAAAGCGTAAGGTTGAAAACGAGCGAAGCGATTATTTTGTTTGGCAAATCACAAAGGAATGAGGAAACTGCTTCTGCTGAAGGGTGGTACAAAGCATAGCGAACATGCTTCTCGACGATTGGACGTTGTGCAAATAGTGTCAAGATCTAGACAATGTTAATTCGGAAGCTGACTGTTACGTACTGAATGAGTGTACAAACCTCAAGGAGACTGGAGAGTCCATTTAGCAAACAGGAGAAGAAAATCAACGTTCCACGTGGGACAAAGCTTGATGTGGTGTCGTTCAGGTTGAAAAATACACTCCCTACGACGAGGGATAAGATGAGGTTCCCTACAAGGGCACCAATCGTCAGGCTTGGATCGCCCTTGAGTCGCATCAAGCCGCGCCAGAGGCACAATTGAATCTGCTGAGGGTATGAGAGAATATATGGTGATTTCCGGCGCTGGCCTCTAGCCTGTTGGGCCTCTTTGGATGCCCGGAAGACGAGGGCGTCAACGCCGTCAAGAGGGTGATCAATTTTATATTGCTCAATTTCCGCCTCCAGGACGGTGTATTGAACACTTTTCTTCCATGCAGTGGCAAAGTCATCAGGCGTATTAGGCACCCTTCCCTCGAAACCGGGACGAACGATACGCTCGAGAGGAGAAGTCATTGAAGTGAGGAAGTCTGGAGTGGTTTGACGAGGAGGGCAATCAAAACCAAGGTCAATGAAATACTGCTTGGCTTCATCAGCTTTACCAAAGAAGATTTGGCGACCTTCGTAGAGAACCATAGCCTTGTCAAAAAGATCATAAGCACTCTGTGGTGCCTGATAGATTGATACACACGAGGTAATATCAAATACATCAGCCTGGAGCCTGAGAGTCTTGCAAAATTCAATAGCATTAGCAGAGTCAAGACCTCTTGTTGAATTATCCCAGCATTGCAAAGGAGCGCCAGAAAGCGCAGCCTCAGCAATCGTAACGCGTTTTCTCTCTCCACCTGAGACGCCTCGCACAGTGTCGTCCCCCACTGGGGTATTGAAGGTGTGGGAGATGCCGAACATTGCCATTATGACATCGCGGAGGTGGTCAGAGTACTCATTACCAGAAAATCCCAACGGCAGTTGGCGCGGCTTGCGGGCGCGGGATGCAAAAGTGAGGGTGTCACCGACTGTCATCATTGGAAAGTGCACATCAACCTCAGCCGTGTAAATAGCCTCGCCGCGATGGTGGGTGTGTAGCTCTTTTGCCCTCAAGCCTGATATTCATAGTTAGCTAGAAGCCATTATCAAGTAGGAGTATGGGATCGCCTCGTCATGGGCTTCTGAGAGAGGAGATATTAGAATTCCGGTCTTACCTTGATAATTGAAATATGAGTCATAGTCAACATGAAGACCATTCGTATCGCCGGCGATTGTCTTCAGAAACGTGGAACAACCGGAACCAGGCGGCCCCAAAACAATCATCATTTCGCCTTTGCCTACCAAGCCGTCGCATTGGCGCAAAATATCCACTTCTTGACGATTAGGTGAGAAGTGCTCTTTGATAGTGCTCGCGAGGGAGAGCCAGACGTTGCCAACAGTCTTCTGGAAATCAGTGGCGGCGTGGAAGCCATGAACGTTGAGATTCTGGAAACAAACACCGGCAGAACGAAGCATCCGATCCCTCGACGTCAATTCCACAATGGACTTTGCCCATTTTGTAGCGTTGAAATTAGGCGCGCTAGGATTTAGAGATGGGTCTGCCTCTATCATGAAAGGGGATGCGTAAGGGCTCCCTCCAGCCGCTTTGTGAGACCTTTTTGAGTACGACCTTGCAAGTTCTTTCACGGCGGACGTGCGTTGCCCCAACTCAAGATGAAATTCATTCTTAGGGTACGATTTATTTGACTCCTTCGAGAATGTGTCCATTCTGACTTCAGTCCTGAAACTGGCTGATGAGGTGTGGGAGAACTCATCATTGCCGGCTTGGAGAGCAGCTGCGAACTCCGCCGAGTCCTCTTGGTAGTATCGGGAATGAGTGGGAGGATCTTCGATACGAACGTACTGCCCACGTGAAAATGCCATTATTTTGGAAAGAATGGTGTGCTATGGATGGTAGGATATTGTGTTTGTCGAGATGCCCGGAGGCCGTCCTCGCCGGGACAAGGGGGGCAATAGAAAAGGGGGAGTGTCAAAAGGCTCGATTGGCGATGATGAGCTAATGATCTTGTAATTAAGAGAAGAGGGTTTCTCGTTTGCTGGAATTTCTGCTCGCGATTTTGTCTTGACAAACATATGAAGGCAAACGAGACAAGCCCTTAAAGGTGCATCCGCATTTGCCACGGTAAAGGCTATGCTAGTCAAGGCGAATAGGTCAAGCAGTAGACTTTCAGGCAGATTCCGAAGTTATTTCGGGCATGATGAGAAATCTCATAGCCCCAATAAGCACTGAGCTGCACTCGAGATATTTCCCAGGGTGTGTACTCAAAAAAACACACACGAAGTACCTCTCAAGTACTCCTGGACCCCTGCTCCCCGCTCAATAATACATCTTACACGCCCTTTATTCTTACACGCCCTCGCCTTTCCCCCTCCTCTCACATGCAATAACACATTTCTGACATCTCGGAACGTCTGGATAGTATTGAAATAGACATACCCACTCTGGAGGCAATGAAGCTCCCGAACCCACCATCCATCAGCCATGTTATTGGTTCCCTGTTTGCGAGCTGGACAAGACCCTTCCTTCACTATGAGTTAACTGAACCGCCCGCATCTATAGCCACGTTTAAGATTATAATATTATCGGCGGTTACGAGTTGCTAAGAGTGGCTAGTATTGCCCTGTCAAAAGTAAGCATCGTAACTGATCCATGGAGGGTAACACCCGAACTGGCATATGCCTGGGGAGGATTTTCTTGGCCATTGACATGTCCGATTCGCGAAAATGATCGGCGAAGCCATATGCCCCAGTCCATGCTCGGACTTTATGGTCTTTCCACCAGGAACTGAGCCCTGTCGGCTGGGTAGGATCCCCCCTCCTTTTTTGCGAGTGATGAAGCCCCTTTTGGAAATTCATACGTAGGAGAAAGAAAACAAAGTTCAACAGCAATGAAAGCTGCCAGGGCCCGGGAACTGAACTCAATGAACATTGGAAATTCATTGCTCTCGAACCAGTGCATTACGTCTGTATTGGCGCCTTCGTATACTAGGGGGCCTACGGCACTCTTCCTGCTTTGTGTTTCAGATGACATTCGTCAAATTATGAATGCTGTGGATATCTATACACAGATGAAGTCCTGCGTAGCTGAAGTGTTTATTTGAGGATCAAAGGAAAGAATGATTCAACTATTCTCATAAAAAGTTTTAATGCCTAAACGTCTTTGACCTGTGCACAAATGATATCTACATGTAGGCATGTTTAAACCTTCTTCTCTTTGAAATACATGGGGCGGCCCTCCTCTTTAACTATTTCCATGTTGGGGTTTTTCTTGAATTCTCCCATGGGCGCGCTCAACCACTGGCCGTCTGCCATCAGAGCAACGCTGCAGTGCCAAGGGGTTGTATAACCAGTCTTTGTATCCAGCAAAGACATGGTGATCTTTTGCTCGCCCGTGGACTTATGAATGGAGAGTCTGAGATGATTTGGGAACCCAGCTTCGATCGCTCGGGCAAATGCCTATGTTAAGAAAGGCAGAGATCAGTCAGTGCCAAAGTCGAGCCATATGATCATATAAGGAGTATACTAGACTGATAAACTCACATATCCTCGAGTCAGCATCTGCTTGGCGAGAAAACTAACATCTTCCTTGTACTGCTCGCTGGACCGATCCTCCCCAGTTGGGTAGATGTGTTCCAAGTCGGATTCGAGGAACTTTTGGTATCCTTGGAAAGTCAAACGTGTGTCGGGGTTGTTGGCGATCTCCTCGTCAATGTCGATGCCTTCCTTGCCGTATGTGTTGAGGAGGGCGCAGCGGAAGTTTGTCGCGTTGGCAACGTAGCTGATTTCTTTGAGCGGCTCCGGGAGACCGTCGATTTTGACCACGTCCTTGATTCGAACGAACCCAAGGTGCTTGAATTTCTTCTTCGTAGCCATGGCGCGTAGAGCCTCCCCGAATTGCCAGACATGACGATCAGGCACGCTCAATAGATCTACAGCGATGGATTAGCCTCGCCAAAAGACCAACGCCGCCCAAGCAAAAGTGTGACAACATACCATTATAAACAACACCATCGGAGAGAATGGTGAGCTTTGCGCCTGGCTTATACACTCCTCGTATGCGCTCACACATTCTGTTGAGCCGCTCCAGGGCCAGCTCCTCGCCCTTATCTGGTAGGACGCCAAACACCTTGTACACTTTGTTCGCTGATTTGAATGGAAAGGCCGGAAGGCACAGTTCAACTCTTTTGCCTTCGTTGACAAATCGATCGATAGTGGGGAGGAACTTGGACGCCCCCGCCGTGAGTCGCTCTACGTTGTCATCGACCTTGTTGAGCGCGAATTCGAAGATGACTTCTAGGATCCGAGAAGATATCTCGCTATTTTCGTTGGAGGTGGGGAGGGTCTTTTCCACGTTGTCTGCCATGGTTGGTGATGAAAACACTTCGAAGGAAATTCGATGATGGATCTCAATGAACTTGAAAATGGAGTAAATGGAACAATGGTGAGCGCGTTTCGATAGAGTATAAACGAATACTATAGATACGGGGCTAGTGTGGTGTTGTGGTTGAAGGCTAACCGCGAGTTTTTGTTTGAGATTTTGCTATCGAACCACCTTTGGCGATCGAACCACCATCTCTGTTTAACCTCGCAAACTTGCTCAACGGTCAGCCCCATAAAACCTTGCTTCTGGTAGATTACGGGGCTCCCTGTCAGCCCAAATGGCCATAGATCCTATTCCCAGGTTGGTTCCGTTTATCGGCGCTCCTGAGCCACTCAGAGGAATATACGGCACCCAGCCACCACCACCAGGGTAAAAACAACCGATATTGATCTTCTAAGCGCATTTACAATAGTTGCCACATTGGAGAAGCAGGATCAATGCATTGAGTGGACAACCTTGGCTTCAGCTGCGATGGCCACTTGCTGATCCTAGACGTGTACTTGCCAATGAATACTCGTCTACTGAACGCACTCTGCTTACTTGATGACATTATGGATCCGAAGGTTCCTTGTGCTGTGCTCGCAAGAATGACTGGAACTAGCCCTGCTGAAACTGCGCGTACAACTTTGGCGGCGAAGCAATTATGCATGATATTAATAACTATAACGTTCAGCCCAACAGCTGCTCGCGAAGCATTAACTAGTTATTGCTCTAGTGACTTGGCAAGTCGTTGGCTTGCTGAGTGGCTGCAACCATTGCTTACAGGCGGGGAAAGGGTGTCAACCAAACTCGGTGTACCGAGATTGACAACGGCTCGCTCCCCACTTCTCGCGTATCGGCGTACCCCCGTCCGGAATACATTAATAATTCTGTGGTCAGCAAGCTCGGAACCAGACCTGAGGCTCGGACTTAGGTATCATATAACCCTATCTGGAAATTCTCCCGAGGCGACAAATCCTCCCCTCGCAAAAACTAGCATGTACGCTTAAACAATTTTGGGGTAGGACGGCTTGAGAGGGAAAAGGGGCGGGAAGGACGATGAATCTCGATAATGATGGACAGACAGGGAACCAGCTCTTTGTTTTGGAGTTGTTACCTAGTACTTGTGCTCAATCCTAATTTCATGGAAACCCTACCCTGTAGAATACTTCAGACAGCTATCTGAATATATCTGTCTGAGCTGTTTTTTTTAACCGAATACAAGGGAATTTAAAAGGAGGCCCGTATCAATGTCTTGAGATGGATTTTCAAAGCCCACTCTTGCGCTGTAGGCATTGAAGGATCCTTATGTTGCATCACGGACTGAAATGTTCTCAACAAGACCGCTGTCTTAGTCTGTTACCTGAAAATTACAACTTCATAACTAAAATACAGTCGTGTTTTCTGCTTTTCGTTTTTTATACTGAAATCGGAAACGTGAAATCCTAAGCTTCCACCTCGAGAGTGCAAGCAAGTGATTTTGTATAAGAGGGCAATAAACCTTGATAGAATGTAGTAAGCTTTTACTGAAACGATTTTATTTACTCTCCTCCATCTGAAATGCCTACTTGATCTAATATCCTCATATACTTCTTACTGGTACTTCTCAAAATAGTTCTTAACCTCTTGAATAAGATCGTGGATGAGCCCATCTTCAACGATGCCGTTTTGCCAGCTGAAACCAATACACATCGACCCGTTCCCGCCTGTAGCCACACTGACTGTAACTGCAGCTCCAGAGACAACTGCACCGCGACTGAGCATCATCTTTCCTACCTCCCAGTGCGCATTGCGCTCGGTGTTGGTACTAACCCCCGGCGTGAATCGCCCAATATTGGTAACCTCGAACGCTGCGTCACGAGGATTCCCAATCATGGAAGAAAAAATAGGGCAGAGCTCAGGGAGGCTTTTGAAGACGGAAACGGCTGTATAAGGCTCGCCAGAGGGAGAAACATTGGCAAGATACTCATTGATAGCTTTAGAGACCTTTCCAGCCCGTGCCCATGTGCTATCGCTCTGAGGCTGCGGATCCGCTCGAGTGAACTGTACTTTCATGGCATCAAAGTAAGTACCGATTGCAGCAATAGAAGTATCGCTGGGCATGTTTAGCCACGGCCGCAAGCTGACTGGAATAATGCATGTGAAAGCCTCCTCAGTCGATGGGAGGGCATTAAACAACGATTCAGCGATGATGGAGGGAATGGAAGAAGTCACAGAAACGCTTTTCTCTTTGCACTCTTGAAAGAAAGCTGTAGAAGCCTTTGGAGTAATAGAGAGTGATTTCCAGCGAGACTCGCAGGGGACTTGGACAGGCAAGCCTGTCCATTCCTTGAGCATGGCTCCAGGAGGAGTTGGGGGAGTTGGGTTGACTGGTAAAGGGTGCAACTCTTCAAGCGGCGGGAGGAGGGTGATATTTCCATCCAGTGATATGATTTCTTCGGCCTTGAAATTAGGCGAGGTAAAAGACGCAGCCTCCAAAGCAGCGTGGAATGCGTTATGGAACACAAAGCCTGAAACCCCATCACCAATTGCATGATGATAAATGAAGCAGGCTGTGAATTCATTCTTGACTTTGGGGTCTTCGAGGATAATCAAACGCCAGAAGGGGAGCTTTCCATACTCGTTCTTGAAGTTGGTGTTGTGCTGCACCTCGAGAATTGAATCAAGTTCTTTATCCTCGCCCTCAGCATCACCCAAGGGCTGAGACCTCTTGAGGAAGTTCACGGCTTGGGTAAGGTCAATAGAAGATAGGGGAGAAAAATATGCATCCGAAGCGTCCTCATTCACGGGAATTGCTGAGAGAATGGGATGCTTGCGAATCACCTCCCCGGCTGACGCGAAGACGAGCTGGCGTAAGTCGGCCGCATCGGAGGACGATGATAGCTTGTAGTGAGCTGAGAGGCCGACGTTGTTGAAGAAGCCGAGATGATGGCAGGCTGCAGAAACCTGCTCAAGTTTGCCTACGGTATCATGTTAGATCAAGAGTGAACCGGGGGATGCTTTGTTGGGGGCAGCAATACCGAGAGGGCGCAACTTTTCAAACTGCTGAATACCCGCCATGTCTTTGCTAAACTGACACGTTTTAGTTTTGTGATGAAAGCTTAACCAGCTCAGAGCATTCTAGGCAGATATTAATGAAAATTATGGCAGTGATGGGCGCATTCACCTAACCAAATCAATGCTAAATTTGGGAACATTCTCCGCCAGGGTCAATCGAGATGTACCTTCGGACTTGTGACAATGGGAACTCGGAAAGCCTTAACTTGACTCCATATTTTGATTTCAGCAGACTTGACCGCATCTTTCGAACGGTGAGCTAATTTGAAAATAGTCTGACATACATGCGAGCTGAGCTCTGAGGCGCAAGCTGTTGCTTTAGCGTAATAAAACCTAGACATTATGATCAACCATTTTGCACTTCTTTCGGATGTATCTTCCAAGTATCTTTACTAATGAATGAAACGTTGGTAAAATGAGAGATCCATGCTCTCAAGGATACAGAACTCGGCCTCCGGATATCTGATAAAATGAAGTTAAGAATTTAACTGATGTATTCGTGGGATGTTTTTTTTTTTTTTTGATAAAATACTGGTATTGGGATGAAGGTACTGGCCATGTTTCTAATTTTCTTGCTACTATTTCGGCATTTGCCGCATATTTTTGTTTTTACGCACAGGAAGATGAAATCTTGAGTACATTATTAATGACTTCACATGTGTTTGCCGGCTCAGATCCTAGTCAATCTTTATTATTGGCCTAACCCCTGCTCAACGCATCTCCATAGCCTCAGATGTACTGCTCGGGTTCCTGCTACTATTCACACACCCCTCCCCAATTCGCCGGGCTCGGATCTTACATCCCCACACAGATTAACGAGTGGGGAGTGAGTGAGAACTTTGGTGTTGCCGCCGACTGCTGCTTGGTATTCTTTTCCGAGGCCCCTGTTGGCATTTTACAGGCTCGCAAACATCATGGATTGGTTACAATAATAGCTAAACTTTGCAAACCACCAATGACGGGTTGGCCATTGTGCTGAGGTGAGGTTCTATGCGGCTGTGCCCCATGATGCTTTCCACAAAGGTTTCTAAGCCAATTTTCCCTAGGTTCTTAGGCACTGGTATTAACCATTGATTCACATTTCGACTCCTATATAATTCTAACCGCTGTTGTGCTGACGAAACTTTTATCTTTCTATCTTCAAAATCTTCTTTCCCATTATTTTCCCTTATAGTCTCCTTGCACTCATCTTTACCACGTACTTCAACGTCTGCCTTGTTACAGTGTTGCCTATTATCTTTGCTTTGAGCGTTTCGTTTCCTTTCATTCAGCTATCATGGCCTCAAACATAAACCTGTCGGGTACCCCCGAGCAAACCGATAATGATGTCAAGGAGATGTCTCGCCTTATCCTAGATATCGTATTCGAATACGCCCTCAACAAGTTCGACGATTCTAAGGATCGCTTGGAATGCGGCGCGGATCTCTTCATATCAGTAATTGCTCAATACGTCGCAGAAGACAAGCAGATCGAGGCCTGTCTTCCGGCGTTCCCCTTCAAATCGGCAAACAAGGTGCACAAAGTGCTGGGCACTATGCCGGACAAGGCCGAGGAGCTGGCTCTTGAACGCCTGAACTCGATGTGTACCCGTATCCAAGCTGTTTACCCACCTGGATGTCAAGTCACGATCGTCTCCGATGGCATCACCTATAATGGTTCGTTACCAACCCTTGATTTGCGTCCAAAACTTGACTTAATTTGAACCTTGACTGACATCTGACTCTCGTGACAATGTTTAGATCTGTTATCCATATCCGATCAAGAGACTTGGCAATACGGTGATGCACTCCAGAAGATGGCTACCAAGAAGAAGTTCCACTCTATCAAGTTCTCTCACATGAGAGACTTGATTGACATTGATCTACCAGAGAAGCTGCGAGAGATTACCTACGTCGCTAACTGCACAACCTTCCGCCGGCTACTCATCAACAAGTACGGCAGAACCGACCTCGATATCGACGACGAAATTGCCAATAATACCGATACGAAGTTGACATACCTGGGATACAAGAGATTCCTGGAGTCTGACTTGAAATACATCTTCCCCCGAGGCGCTGATCGCACCGCCAATGGCTATCGGAGGGATTGCAAGTATCTTGCCAAGCAGATGATAATCCGTGGATATGTGAGTGTTGATAACTTACTTGCTCTTATCATAGTCGCTAACGGGGTTTTTCTTCTTAGGCCTTTGCTGGCGCTGTCAAGGACGCTTACCCTAACCACTTGCGTCTGTCTATCCACGAATCGATCGGTCTGAACAAGGTGTCAGTGTGTCTTCTCAACACTAGGACCGGTTTCACAACCCCTTGGCACTGCAGCGTTGCGCAGCTGGCCAACGGGGAATGGATCAGCGCTCCAATGGGCGAGTTCAGCCGAGATAACAGGCTAGAAGTTGTCTACGAGGATGGAAAGCCCAGCTACTTCAAGGAAAAGCCGCAGGACGGTCTTGGGATTGCTGAGTCTACTGCGTCGTACCTTCAAGTGGCCAGACCAATCAGCGCCAGTGGATACATCAGCGGAGCATCTACTCCAGGCACAAGGTCGAGGTCAGCGTCGAGGGCGGGTTCACCTTCGCGGAACTCATCTGGCCCGTCAAGAGGAGTATCGCCTGCCCCGCCATCTCCTGGTCTGCTTGCTCGCTCTTTAGCTGCCTTGGGTGGCGGGAGCTCTCGAGCTACCACGCCGGAGCCTCCCCTCCTGACCTTGAACAATCCGGAAATCGTCATCGAGGGTGATATCACTAGCCCCTCGTATGTGAAGAAGATGCCAACTCCAGAACTATATGGCAAGAGACTCATTCCTCAGATCATGGATAGTCTCGCGGCTAGCGATCCCGAGCGCGTTGTTTTCTCGTTGGCAACTCTCTCGGGAAACTCGGTTGGGCTTAGACATATTTCTGCTCGCGAATTTTCTAAAGCTGTCGACAAGACAGCTTGGTGGCTCCAAGAACAGGCCGGAAACACGCAATTCGTTCAACCTGTGGGATATATCGGACCACGTAAGTTTATTGAAACCCGACGCCAAATGAATACTTGTGACGAGAAGTGACTAACCTCAATAACTTCCGCAGATGATCTGCGACATATTTTGTTAACCTACGCTTGTGTTAAAGTCGGATACGCGGTGAGTCAAAGCATGAGCATCTACATCTTCACGGAGCTAATACAAAGTCATTCCCGCAGGCCCTGTATCTGTCTCCTAAGAACAATACGGAGGGAGCTCTAGCTGTTTTAGAGGCCACCAATTGCAATATCTGGGTTAATGCTATAGACGCAACCCCAGTTCCTCTAGTGCGGGAGTTTCTAGAGCAGCGAAGCATGAAGGTTCTACAGCTGCCTCTTCTGGACGACCTTCTGGATGCTGGTTCTACTGATCCTTTCCCGTACGAGAAGACGTTTGCTGAAGCTAAAAATGATCCTTTCTGTTACCTTCACACGTCTGGCAGTACTGGAGTGCCGAAGCCTATCCCCTGGTCCCATGGACTGATCGGAACCATGGATGCAATCAGGCTGCTGCCGCCAGTTGACGGTGATGGTGGCCTGGAGCCTTGGACTAAGGATTGGAAAGCAGGGGATAAGATATACTCATCATTCCCAATGAGTCATGTAAGTGCACCGTGGATTCTGTTCGATCAAGACTGATGAAGGATTTTGGGCTAACCATGGCAATAGGGGGCGGGAATTATCATGGACATCCTGATGCCAGCTCTTTTCCAACTGCAATGTGTATTGGGACCAGCCAATGTCCTACCCAACCTGAACCTCATTGAGAACCTGGCAGAGAATGCCCAGATTGACATCTGGAGCATGGTTCCATCTCTTGTCGATGAGTTGGGTGAAACGCCCGAGGTATTGGCCAAGTTCAAGCCATCCAAGTTCATCTGTGCTTCTGGTGGTCCCGTCAGCCCTGTCAGTGCGGGCAAAGTGAACGAAGTCATCAGAGTGCTCAACTTGACTGGCACAACGGAAGGCCTCTTCATCGGTAATCTTGTGACGAAGCGAGAGGACTGGTTTTGGTTCTGTTTCCATCCCTACTCTGGCTTTGAGTTCAAGCAACTCGAGGAAGACACCTACGAGCATTGGGTCCATCGCAATGAGCACTGGCCTTTATTTCAGGGAATCTTTCACACATTTCCAGACAAACATTCGATCAACTTCAAGGACCTCTATATGAGGCATCCCACCAAGCCTAATCTGTGGGCATTCAAGGGAAGAAGTGATGACCTTGTGGTTCTTTCAAACGGGTATAAGATATCGCCCTTGGAAACCGAAGCCTTCGTTACTACTCATCCCGCGATTAACGGATGCCTTATTTTCGGAACTGGAAAACCACAAGCTGGTCTCCTTATTGAGCTCAAGGATCCCTCAACCAAGACGGATGAGCTTATCGACAGTATTTGGGAAACTGTCAAGAAGGCCAACTCTTTATCTCGACACAAGAATCAGCTCCTCAAGGACTTTGTCACTTTTTCAGAAGCTGATAAGCCCTTCATCCGGACGGATAAGCGTACTGTCAAGCGTGCTGCCACTTTGGCACTGTACGCAGACTACATTGAGCGGTTTTATAGCTCCCGCACGGACGAGCTCGACACGTCTTTCACAGTGGATTTGAGGTCTGAGGATTCCGTGCAGGCTTGTATCCGTCAGATCCTTTCCTCCTCGATCCCTGAGGTCAAGGAGTCTCCTGCCGACACGGACCTGTTTACACTTGGCCTGGACTCACTTGGCGTTTTTGCAGCTGTCAAGACGATCCGGGCAGCTACAGGTCTAGGAGAGAAGATCGCTACTCGTCATATCTATGCCAACCCCACAATTGAGGGCCTCTCTTCTCTGATTGTGCGTACAGCAGCTAATTTGAGAGCCCAAGGGGGATCTAGCCTTGAAAATAAGCATGTTGACGACGAGGTCACACGATTGAAGCAGATGATTGCCAAGCACAAAGCTCGACAATCATTTAGACTCAATGCTTTCGACTATGTCAACCCCAACCACGGTATGGGTTTGGTCTTTTACTTCCCCCTTCGTGATGGAGTCAGCAACGAGCAAGTGTTCTCCAATCTCCAAGAGGGTCTGAATCGGACCTTTGATATGATCCCTGCCCTCGGAGGTAAAATGATGAACGCCTCGGAGCAGGAAATTGGCTATGTCAAAGGAGACCTGTGTGTTACCATTCCATCCCTTTCTATGGCATCCTCTGCCCACAACCGCTTGGTCTACAAGGATCTCTCCAAGATCCTTCCCTCATTCGACAAGCTGAGAGATGCAGGGTTTGCTCCGTCTGCATTCAAAGATAGCCTTGTCTTGCGGGATGATCCTTTCCCCAAAATGCCAGCGGATATCTTTGTTGGGCAAGCCAATTTTGTCGAGGGAGGTTGCATCCTCGCTGTTGATCTCAACCATTGCTGTATGGATGGGCTTGGTGTGATGATCGCTCTGAAAGCTTGGGCAGAAAACTGCAGATTCTTGCAGGGTGATTCCTCGGCAACATGCGAGTGGTTTGACCCTGAGAGCTTTAATCACAGCTTGCCGGAGATCCTCCATGAGCAGGAGGGCTGGGCAAAGCCTCTCAGTGAAATAGATCCTGGTACATGGAATTATCTACCCTTCCACCCACCCGAGGAAGAGGATATCAGCGGTAAGCAGTCCTCAGCCTCGAAGGAAGGAGCGCTCCCTCCTCGGCTTACATTCCCTCTTCATCCTATCTGGCCTCTCCCTCAGGCTGAGAGACGTTTGAACACCACTCTATTCTTGATCAAGCCTGAAAAGCTCGCTCAAATGAAGCGAGATGTTATGGCTGATCCTGAAGCCAAGGGCGTAATTTCATCCATCAGCGACATCGTGCAGGCATTCTTCTGGCGTGCCGCTATTAGGGCAAGACACCGCATCGCTACAGAGATCCGCAAGCAGACCTTTAACTCTGATGACGTCTCTATTCTTGAGCTCCCCACTGACACTCGACCATTCTTCTCGTCCCTTCTGCCATCTACCTACATGGGAAGCACTCTCCTGCTCAACAGATCCAGTATGCCAGTGGAGACGCTCTGCTCCTCAGAGACCAGCATCGGACAAGTTGCGTACCTGCTACGACAATCTGCCGCACGCATAACCCCCCAGGTGGTTCACGATGCATTTACTATTCTGCAGTCTCTCCCAGACCATACCAGATTCTCAACCGCTAATATGGGTACCGAGCACATGCACGCGATGATATCCAACATGATGCTGTTCCCAACTAGCGAGATCAACTTTGGAGAGCAAATATTCGCCAACGCAGGCTCGCCTGAGTCGATGCGTCCTCAGCTTGACCGTGGCAGTGGTCGTTTCCGATTTTTGCTCATTTTCCCAATGAAGAAGGATGGAGGTGTCGAGCTTGTTCTGGGCACCCATCCCGAGGAGCTGGAGATGTTCAAGGCTGATAAGGAGTTTACCAAGTATGCCGAGCTCGTGGAGGCTCTCTAGGTTATGATAAACATGTGGTTCTTAAGAAAGCCCCCCCTCAGGGGTGTAACTGAAGGATTGTCATTCCTGACTTTCAGAGATTGTTCAAGCTATTGTGCAAAACATTTACTCTTAATATAATTTCTTTTTGTCAGAAGCCGTCCCCTCCTTCTTTGCCGTGATACTCTAAAAAGTCAGGTTCAATTCACTTAAGTGATGCCTCTAAACGCAAAAGGTTACCAACTCAAAGCCCCCCACACTCTCCGTTTTGGATTTTGGGTCTGATGGATGATCCCTAGGTTAAGCGCAAAGGGGGCGTAGGGAAGATCGGACCGACCCCTTGTGTATCGAATATATCAAAAGTGATTAGTGGGAGACTTTATACATATCTGGCCTGAAATTGTTCTACCTTTATGGTCATAGGGATGTACAGTGCCTGAAATGATCCTCTCTAGGACGATATGAGATCCGCTCCGTACGAAGTCCCCTCGTTGGGCTATACAAGCATCAGTGGGTCGGGGAATCTGTTCCTTGAAGTACGCGAGAGTCCTCGGTGAATTCGGCGACCGAGTCAAGTGATGCCAAAACCCCGTATTGCCTTCAAGCGGACATGGCTTGGCACGGGGCCTTTGCTTGGGCGGGAATGGCGCCAGCTTGTGCATCTGGTATTATTCGCCATACGATCAAGCACACATATGAGAGGAAAGTCTATAATTGCAGGGACAGTAAAGAAATCTCCTAACGACTATTTACTACATTCAAGGTGTAATCAAGACAACCTGGCCAGCTTCTTGGCATGCTTCTGTCTTTTTAAAGCATTCCTCCATCTCATCCAGCCGGTACTTTCCACATTGCTCATAACAACCGGCACTTCCGAGTTTCAGTTGCCCGGATTCCGCTAACCGGATCAGAGACTTCACATCTGCTCGCTCATACATGAACTGGCCCCGGATAGTCAGGTTGTTCCCCATCGCATGCGAATATGGCAGGGCGAGATCTGTCGGGATGAAACCCATGAGCGACGCCCGGCCATACTGTCGGAGTGCAAGGAAGCAACTGCGAATATGAGTAGAGGCGCTCGCTTGGGGAGGCGACAGGTCCAGATACGCATCGATGGGTCCGAGAGCCCGCAGTGCGGCTGTATCAGCCTGCACGTCACCTGTGTTTACAACAGTTCGAACTCGTGGAAATTGATCCTTGAGCTTTTGAAGAACCTTGGCGTTGCGGCCCATTGCAACCACCGTCGCGCCCATGGCCAATGCGGCAAAGACGGCGGCGCCGCTGAAGCCGCCTGTGGCTGGGGCAATAACAATAGTCTCGCCAGGCTGGAGGTTGATGCCACGCAGGCCACCGTAGGGAATGAGAATCTCAGGCAAAGATGCAAGATCGTCGATGGTGTATCCGAGACCGCCTCCCGACGGGCTTCCGCATAGGCGCTTCTCATCGAGTGCCCAAGTGTTCTCAAGAGGCGCGCGGACGTACTCGGCGTAGGAGCCCATGGCCCAGTTGTCGGCCATGAACTTCTTGGACTGGGGTGTGAAACCATCGGAAAATCCCCATAGTATTTGAATATCGGTGTTGTCACGAGCCCGGACAAATGTGTCAAGCATGACAAGTTGACCGATAGCCAGACTTGTGGTGTCTTGTCCCGTTGCAGCTACCCGACCGATGGCACTATTTCCAGGAGTAAGAGGCTTTGGAAAGGTGAACGGAGTTTTGCCTGCGATGATCGCAGCTAGGCTACGTTGTGACTGGACCGCCAGCACCTTGACAACAACACTTCCTGGAGTTGGCCGGGGAGTTGGGACGGTCGTGAGCTGTAGAGGTTGCCCTACTTCCTGGCAAACAAGGGCTTTCATGGTTTCTGGAAGATTTTGGGCCATGGTGAGAAGGATAAGGGTGTTATGTAAAGTGATTGAGTCTGGGTTCTTCTCGTGAAGTTGGTAGGTAGTTGTTGTTCCATTCCGACAGTTCTGAGGAGGGGAGGGATCTCTTTAAGTACTAATCTGACAGATTTTAAGAGGTAACCCAATTGGATGCTTGAAGCATGTAAATTTACCACAACCGGGAGATCCGTCACCATTTTGATCACGCCGCCAGCCAAGACGAGCCTTCATGGACTTAACGCAAGGTGTTGGTGATGATTGTGGGTTATTATTAGAGTTGAGAACACGAATTTGGGCTAGCGTCACTCTGAAACGAATTTGGGTTAGCCTCCTCTTTAACACGATTTTGGGTTAGCGCATTGATTCAGAAAGTGGGACTTCAACGAGGTCATTTCTCAGGGAACAATCTTGGGCTCACTCACTTCTGCTTGTTCCTCTCCCACTTCCAGCTAATCCCTTGCGGCTTCCAAAACATTATCAGCCGGAAAGTTTCTTCCAGTCACTTGTAGAAGTATCCACACAGATCAGACTGTATTGCCTCCCGAAGAACACTGAAAGCGGAGATCTTTCACTTCAGTGGCACCAAATAAGCATCCAGGGGACCCGTTCAAGCCGTCGGCCCATCATCTGTCCAACGGCGCAGCTTGTTGATTTCCCACCTTCCATCAGGGAAGTATCAAGTTGTTCGAGCCGACTACCCATCCGGCATGCCTCGTCTTCCAGCCCCTGATGCGGAGCAACCAACTCGGAAGCGACGGGCACACACCAAGTCCCGGAAAGGATGCGGCAACTGCAAGCTTCGCCAGATTAAAGTAGGTTAAAGGTTTCTCGACCCGTTATGGAAGTTACGATGTATGACAGAATTTGGGTTGTCCTGACTGCCAACACAGTGTGACGAGCGAAAACCGACTTGCAAGAATTGCCATCGCTTCGGAGTGTTATGTAACTACGGGCAGCAGGCCATTCCTGGCGAGGGCATCCTTCAGGTTGCGATGAATGGGCCTTACCAGATGGGGATTCTTCCCTCACCCTCTTCTAAAACATCAGTCCTGGGCGCTGTGAATGCGGCTTTACGGCAGGAGCCATATCTGGATTGCCAACATCCGATTCTCCAGCTGACAAACGGGGATCTGGACATTCTAGCCCGTTTTCAGTTCAGGACCACTCCAACCTTGGCAACCACCGGCTCCCAAGATTTGTATCAGAGAGAGGCGATTCGTCTCGCTTGTCTGGTATGCGCCCTGGCATCAGTACCCCGAAACACAAGTATCCATCTAACCTTTCTCGATCTTTAGCACCCATTTTTGATGCATCTAGCGTTGGGTATCACTCTGACACACGACCGCCACCTGGAGTCATCGCCACCTGCACCACCATCAACAGCCGAATTGCACCATCTGTATCGAGGGACTGCTATGTTCAACAAGACAATACAGGGCCCGTTAACTTCTTCAGAAAAAGACGCAATATGGGCTTCCGTGAGCCTTTTAACTGCGTCCACTCTTGCGCAAATCGATGCCAAGGTGCCCGAGCAAGCCTGGCCACTTGTAAACCCCACCGAAAACGAGCTGGCCTGGATGGTGGTGTTCGACGCGAAGCGACAACTCTGGCGGATCGTGGATCCAAGTAGGGCAGACAGCTGCCTCCGAGCCTTTGCCGAGGAAGGATACTTGGGCCTCCACTCCTCCAGTTACCCCAAACCAACACTGACCGAACTGCCGGAGGAGGTGATCCAACTGCTAGGCCTCGATGGCAGTGATACCAGCTCCTACAATCCCTACCGCTTCGCTGCGAATACGCTCGATAATATACTAGCAGTACAGAGTAGCCAGTCCACTGTGCTGTGCTATCTGTCGTTTTTATGTCTCATGCCACATGACTTTAGGTCATTACTCCAGGACAAGGATCCATATGCATTGATATTGATGGCTTATTGGTATGCGCATTTCAGCCAATCTCGGGCATGGCATATCTGGCGGCGATGCATTTTGGAATGTCAAGCAGTCTGCATCTATCTGAGAAAGTATCACAGTGAAATCCCGGGGATAGACAAGATTTTGGAGTTTCCCAGGCGGCTTTGTGAGGTTGGCATTGTTTAAGTATTATTGACTATCTACCAAACAAGAGACTTGGACACTTCATTTGCAGGCAATGGCAATGTGAAGAGTATTATGCCCTATATCCTCGTAATAGAATCAAATCATCGACTACATGGTACAAATCTAAGATGTGACTATGAGATGCGATGAATTGACGTACTGAGCTGTTACAGCCCTTGCTGAGCGCCGGCGATCGCGATGACTTCGCCACTCATGTAAGTATTTGCCGGGTCAGCAAGCTCCACATAATGCATGGCAACTTCAGCTGGCTGTGCAAGGCGATGGAACTCCAAGACTTGGCTGGCGAGTTCCAGCTCGGTATTGGTGAATCCAGACTGAGCAAGGAACGGAGTATAGGTCAAGCGTGGGGCAACGCCGTTAACTCGGATGCCTCGTGGTGCCAGCTGCATTGCCAGGGAGCGTATTGTATGAGTAACGGCAGCTTTGGAGGAGCCATATAGAACTGAAGGACCGACAGGATGGGCGGCGATGTTGGAGGAGGTGACGATGATACTACCGCCGGCTGGCAGTAGAGGAACAGCGGCACGTGTTAGATACAGAGTTGCGAAGACATTGATCTTGTAAATCTGCTCCATTTCACGCCGATCAAACTGCTCAATAGGTCGCCAATTAGGACCTTGCAAGTTTCCAGAATATCTGGAGGATGATTAGCGATAAATTCAGAGGCCTTGGTGAACAAATGGCCACAACCTACCCAGCGTGATTGATAAGAATGTCCAATCCACCGAGGCGTCGATGAGCCTCAGTCACGAGCTCAGTACAGAATTCTTCATTACCCAAGTCTCCAGGGATGCGCTCAAACGAGAGTCCCTCTTCTGCCATCAGGTCTGCGAGTGCTTGAGCATCAGCTTCCTCCTCGGGAAGGTAATTGATGGCGACCTTGGCTCCCTCCCGGAGGTAGGCGATGACAACCGATCTTCCGATTCCTGAATCGCCACCGGTGATAAGTGTCTTCAGTCCCTCCAACCGTCCGCTGCCTTTATAACTCTTTTCACCACAGTCGGGTGGGTATCGGAAGCTCGTATGAAGCACGGGGAAAGATTGCGGTGGCATGTCCAATGTCATGTTCGAGTAACGAAGATTTGGGTCATCAATTTAGTAGCTTTTTGAGAAGTTAGAATAATCCCACCCAAGTTACGAGGGTCTACTCACGCGTGGCGGCAGCCGTTGTCGCAAAAATGCCTAGTGTGAGGGCTGCGAGACTAAATATCGGTTTAAACATGGTGGCTCGAAATTGAGATTGAATGTTTTCAAAGATTTGGTGAGCGTGGGTTGAATGAGGTTGTACTTTGTAATTGTAGTTTTTAATTGAATATATTTTTTTTTCTACAATCTTCCGAGGATTGAAGCAGTGTCTTTATATGCTTTTACTCCAGAAGTGACGGGCACTAAGCTCTCACCTGATCCGCGGAGATCCTTCAACCGCCGATCAAATCATTTGTGTGCTGACGATAAATGAAGGTGAGGTTTGAAAGAATGCTGGAGATGAATCCTAATCTAGATTGTCAGATAACAATCAGTAATCCGCGGAGCTCCGTTGCTTGCGCATCGTCTGAAATCATCCTCGGGGGCTGTGCATGAGGAAACGCAATGCCACATAAAACTCGAATTTTCAAGGCCTAGTATTATGCACAGGCCCTTCTATAAATAGACATGCCTTTCACAAACAATATATCGGATGAGAGTTGGAGTATAAAGAAAAAACCAGCAATGGAAGATGCCAGATCCGATATCTCAACACAATGAATATACCATAACTAACTACATGTATCCAATGGATATTAAATTGAGTACATCCCACGTCCCTGAAACAACGTTTGCCATCTGTCTACAACGAGCTGAGTAACCCATGTTTAAGCTGCAGCCTTTCCTCGTGTCTCATATGGTAGAACCAAGAAAACAAACCCTGCAACCATGAACAGTGCGGCGGAAATCCATATCGGAAGGTCAGTATCGATTCCAATATAGGCTGCAATGATCGGAGCCATCAGGCCGCTCAAACGGTTGAACAGAGCCACCAGACCGTTTCCAGTACCTCGGACAGTAGCCGGAAACAACTCGGGAGTATAAGAGTAAAGCAAGCCATAAACAAGATTCTGGAAGAAGGCAATGGCACATGAGAAACCCAACACCGCGGCGTTTGTGTTTGCTCGCGTAAAAAGGAAGAGAAAGACTCCGGTGCAGATGCATGCAAACGCTCCAGTGCCCTTCCTCCCGATCCTTCGCAAGTCCACCGTGAAGCCGCCTAGAAGCGAAGCAGGGATTCCACAAACAGCTTGAATGGCGTAGTTTCGATATGTGTCGTTCAATGAAGAAGCTCCGGTCTTCACTCCTCGATTCTCAAGATAAATAGGAATAAAGGAGTTGTATAGGGGAAAAGCCATCCCGATCGAGCACCAGAGGAAAATCATAAGAGTAGTGGACAGTGCAAGCCGGGGCGTGGAAAAAAGGGCTCGCACTTTGTCTGGCCTAAATTTCTCGAGGTTCCGCTGGACAACACCTAGGCCCTCAGAGTTGGGGGCAGTGACTTCATCAGTCTCGCCGGCAGTGACTCCAAGCTCAGCATCGACCGCCTCGAAATGTGCGAGGGTCAGCCAGGTGGTGGTCTTGTTTCGAGCAGCAACTTTTTGAATGACTTCAACAGCTTCCCTATCACGGCCTTTACCGAGTAGATACTTGGGAGTCTCGTAAACCTTGAAAGCGAGACGCATAATGAACATAAGGAGTGTTAGACCTCCAAATGTCCAGTATGTATATCGCCAACCCATGTTGTCTTCGTATCGGCATTGGCCTGGTAAGCGCGAGGAGCAGGAGAAATTGGCAATAAGTGGCCTGATTAGTAGTGATTTTAGTAAGGGGTTCTATTTTGCCTTTCACAAATTCAAGGAGGGCCACATACCATCCAATAAGCGCTGCAACAGCTTGACCGACAGACCAGAATGCCGACTGCATTGTCAGAAGATACTGGTGCGTGGCTGGAATGTACTCGAGGAAGATGGCACTGTCAACTGGCTGGTTGCCGCCGGTTCCAACACCAATAAGAGCACAGAAAGTCGATATAGCGACGAAATTAGGACTCCCTGCACCAACAAGCCCTGCGGCTGATGACATCAGAAGAGTAATATTGAATGCTGGGCGACGTCCAATGAAGTCTGCCGTCATCGGCCACACGCTGGAGCCCACAACCAAGCCAACGTACTTTGCAACCGTCAGAAAAGCGATCTTCTGGACGGCAAACTCGTTCCTGACTGGCGGGCTGATGATAGTGATGGCTTGCATCCAGAACTGTAGATAAAATATCAGTTTCGCGAAAACCTTTGTCGAAGGATCAGGGAAGTTTAGCGAGTGTCTCCTACATTGTCTACAAACCAGCCAAATCCAGTCATGGCAAATATCTGCCACTGAAACCGGCCCATTCCCATGTCAATCAATGCTTGATTCATAATGGTGACCTTTCTTTCGTATACGCCATCAGAACCTGCTGCAATGATGCTGGTATCTATGCCATGGTAGTCGTATTTCTCAGAGGTTCCCTTTTCGAGCGACCGTGGCCGTTCGAGGTCGGCGGGTTTCCCAGTCTCGGAGACCTCAGGTTTAGACATCTTAGGAAGAGTTTTCCCAAGGAAGAAAAACGAAAAAAAGAAAGGTTTGTGACAAGAAGAAATAGGTGTTGAATGTTGGGGAAAAGGAGGTTCGGTGGTCTGCTGAGGAGAAACAACAGAGGGAGGGGACGAAAATCTCTGGATACTCTGCGATCTGATATAGTTTTTCCTACTCTACCCAGATAACAGAATCTGCCAGAGTAATTACAGCAGCCAATGGCGGCGTTGTGATGTTATCATCGTCGCTTGTACCGTATCTTTCTGGGGAACCCCGGTGCCCCAGTCCCGCTCTCCTTTAGCATCCTACCTGACGGAGTTCATGGAAGCCAATCATGATCCCTTTTTAGTCATCGGTTATCCCGCGCTTCAAACACCTCGAATTAGGGTTAGTGTTGATACATGCACCGACTCAGGTCCGTCAGGTGATGAAGGGAAGTGGATCAGCAGCAACAACCAAGCATCTAGTCCGGCGGTTCAAACACCATGAAATGGGTTTAGCGAGTACTCTTGACCCACAACTAACACCACCATAACCAAACTTATCTTGAACCTAGAAGTGATAATTGATTAAGTGCATCCTGTCTTCCCACTTGTCAGTCTGCCCAAGGAAGCCGAGAATTACCGAAGTCCTCCAAACAACCCCAACATCCTCTAGCTCTATGCTGAGCCAAACCACCAATAGCGTCTCAAACCCTCTAATTCAAGAATAGCGAGGCCGCTAATTCCCCCGCAAGATGATCTTGATATCGATGTATCGTTTCGATTCTCCACTGTCGGACACGAGGGCGCTTGCCAAGGAACAGAAAGGTATCATCAACAGGTTAGCCTTTTGCTTGAATAACACAGTTGCTCGGCGGTTTAAATTACTCAAAGTGGCAACGAGTCTGCTGCTCTCTCTCGATCATTGATCCTACCCCGCGTATTATTTTCTTTAAATACGGTCTCCAAGGAACCCAAATCTATGCAACAGATGACTACCAAAAAACTAATTTAACATATACTTCAGTTTTTGAAAGAGAACATCTAAACTTTTTGAAAAATCCGTCACCATGGCTCCATCTGCTGTTTTTGATACCCCGGCCACCTTGGGATCCACGGAACCCTTGACATCTCGGACATCCAAGAATGTATCTGCAACCAAATTCGATGCTTCGAAGCACTTGGCATATTCTCCACCATCTTCGATTTTGAAGATGGAGGATATCAAGCTTCAGCCTACGGCACTTTCTCCCGTCGCCACCACGGACCCGTTTCCGCTCCTCTCACACGATGCTGTGTTACAATACCGACGGGAGCTCTTCAGTAAGGAGGTCCTCGACAATTGCCTTCATTATACTCGCCCAGGGTCGGTCCAGCTGCGTGGCATGGCCCCAAGATACACCCCTTTCATTCATGAATTCTGGCATTCCCCCGAAGTCCTAAAAATTGTCAGTGACATTGCCGGCGTTGAGCTCGTTCCTGCCATGGACTATGAAGTCAGCCACACCAACGTTCAACTCGGGCCAGGTGGGCTTGAAGGAGTTCGAAACACGCCCATTGAGCCTCCGGAGGCCACGGAGGAGGCTATCAAGAAATTTGAGCTAGAGAAGCCCAAGAAACAGGTCGTCACCGACCAAACCAAGCCGATCATTGAGTGGCACAAGGACTCCCATCCCTGGGTATGTGTCGTGATGCTATCGGACGCCAGGCATATGACTGGTGGAGAGACTGAGCTCATGAAAGGAGACGGGACAACTCTGAAAGTCAAGGCGCCACAGATGGTAGGTTCTTGTTCTATTGGCCGGGCTATTTCCAGAATACACAAACTAACATTAGCTCACGTAGGGTTGCGCTGTCCTTCTCCAAGGCAGGTATATCAGTCACACCGCCGCTCCCGTGACGAACATGCCTGAGCGAGTCACTGTTGTGACCTCATTCAGGCCCAAAAACCCACTCCTACTGGACGAAACTACAAACGCGAATATTAGGAACAAGTCCCACCTCACCGAGTTATACTACCAGTGGAGTACCTACCGCCTCGACGTTCTAGCTCAACGATGTCAACTTACTGCTCAAGCTCTCCGGGAGAAATATGTAGAGAATGTAGAGAAACACGATCCAGAGGGGAAGCCAGGTATGTGTCGTGTTGAAACGGTCAATGTGAGAGACATGGAGAAATGGGCAGAGGAGATGATCAAGTACATTAAAGAGACCATGTACGAGATGAGGCCCCTCGAACAATAGTTGGACAGATCGCTGGGAATGTAAATACATTTTGAATCTCAGAAATGGCAATGTTCATCACACAAGGAACGAGTCCCGTGCCAAATGCTATGAAAAGGATGTAACCTTAGAGAACTATATAAGTCTAAACATCTCTCGAATAGTCTTCCGACGGACTTAGGCATCTCTTCAGTGACTTAGTACCGCCTTCTTAGTGGCATGCACTATGCCCAACCCCTCCCTATCTTTGCCCCCACCAAACGGTTTAATCACGCTCGTTGGCCGATGACTATCACTGCCACCAAACCACATCCAGCAACCCCATCCGACGCCTCCAGTATAAACCTCCACCGACCCCGCATTGACATCCATGGCCATTCAATTGAGGACAGTATGTCAGTCATCTGAACGGCTCTCGAGCTCGTTGTTCTTGGCCAGCTCAAGCGAATGTCCAAGTGCTAAAGAATGCAGTCGCTTCAACCATCGAAGCCTGGAGGAACACGCTCAAGGAGCGGTTGCTGGACCTGCAGATCGAGGTAAGCCAAGATACTCGACTTTCAGGGCGAAAAGAAGCTCACCCATGACAGGAAGAAAAAGTGCGATTCACCCACCGTGCCATGCAGTACTTGTATCCGGCTGGGACTAGAGTGTGAGCGCAATGTCAGACTCGTTTGGGAAGACGATACTAGAAGAGTTGGCATGAAGAGAAGAGGCCGAACAAAGCCCGCAAATGAAAAGATAGACCCTGGAGCCTATGTTCACCAATATTCGAGCGGCTATGGGGTGACCCAATCGATGAAAGACGACGACAAGAGTGTGAACTCGCCTTGTCGTGCACTCTCCCTTTGGCCTGAGGATCTGGATCAAGCGCAATCCCGTCTCCTGGACCACTATATCCAGAGGTTTTCAAGAACCTACCCAACATTTTCAGGGCCAACGAACCCGTTTTTGAGCATTTTGCTCCCTCTTTCTGCCCAGAGTCGGACGGTGCTGGATGCCTTACTGGCACTCAGCGGAGCTCAGACTTGGGAACATGGTCGTTTCATATACCAAGATATTATGCCAAGCCTTAGACAAAAGGCTTTACGAGGCTGCATGAGCTTGGTTACTCGTCTCATGAACGCCCCAGACTCTAATCAGAATCAAGTACTTGATGGGGACTCACTTCTTGGAAGAGACCTGGCGGAGAGAATTCTTTCCAATGGTACAGACTTTTCTACTAAGCAAGATTTTCTCTCTCTACTCGCGACTTGCGTTCTACTCATCCTCTACGAGAAATTGACTAGCGAAAGTGGAGGCCCGGTGTCTGCTCATCTTCAGTTTCTCGCGAAAGTCATCCCCTACCATCATGTGTTGGCGTTCGCCTCAGGGCCAAGCACAGGTGTGGTGGATCATTCAAACAGAGAGCCCTTTTGCTTTCTCTCTAGCTTGTTTTTATACAATGATCTTGTCCAATCTACCTCACTAGGGATCCCGACACTCTCTGATTTCTACCTTAACACCATGCCTGAACTAGATTGGGTGAATGGAGAGATAGCCTCTCCCGACCGGTTCTATTTTCCGCGGCTGATTGCTCGAATTGGAGCTGGTGATACCGATGTCACCGATGCCGACATAGCTGCGTGGGATGGAAGCTTGGATTGGTTTCCAAGTTTCTCACTCCAGCAACTCGAGCCACAACAAAACCATGAGAGATTGCCGATATTCGACCCAGTAATAGCCTTTCAATCCGATTTCCGGTACTTGAGTCTCTTTAGTCCTATTAGCGAGTGGCAGCAACCAAATCTCATCTCAGAGTTATATCGTATTGCAGCCATTTTATATAGAAGGGGTTCCAGCGTTCGACACGGTGCAGGTCTTTCTTTCGGGATATCATCCTCCTCCAATGGATGTTACCGAGAAGTTGGAAATCTTGCTTCATGGGCGGCTCAACTCATTGATGCTATTCCCATTGGTTCGCCTTTCGAGAACGCTCTCTTGTGGCCAATAGGCATAGTCGCCAAGGATATTAATGAGGCTCTTGTGGAGGAGAGGAAGGCCCTGGTAGCTAAGTTGACTTACCTTGAACATCGTTTTAAACAGAAGAACTTCTATTTGGTAAGGCAGCACTTGGTCCGGCAATGGATGGGAGATGATGAGTGGCTAGCAGAAGAAGACGGTGCAATTCTATTTGGATAGACTGCTCTTGGGATGGCTGTGGTAATATTGCGAGGGCCATTTATCTTCACAATGGACAAGGGTTTACCAATTATTTTCCTGTTCTAGAATCAAGAATGGCTGAAGCCCGTGGGGAGCCATCCGGCCATGGACGCGCTAATCTGTAAACGCATATTCTAGCCGCTGAGTACCAATGGCCATATCATCAAATCACAGAGACCAATAAGGATTCTAAATGGGAATCCACAATGAACTATGCCCCATCCTTCCTAAATATACCAGGCAAGAGTGGCTTGGCCTGCGTAGCTACAAGGTTCTCCGCGATTGCTACTCCGATGTCGATGATGGTATTCCCCCCACCAGAATCATTGCCTAAGGTATAAAAAGACTCTATCCTGTACATGACAAGTATATTTATTTCTCTACATACCTCCTATAGCACCTCGAAAAGCACCTTGAAAATGACTGTCGTAACGCAACCTGAAGTTTTCTTCTTCAAGCCCACAAATTATGTGCCTAACAGTCAGCTCCCTGTGCTTGTTTACCGAAAAGCCCTACCTTTGCCCCTCGAAGAGAATCTGGTGAGAGAGTTTCTGGAATCTAATAATTGGATTCACGGGGTATTTTCAGAAAATGAATCTGTCACTAGGATAATCAGTGAAGGCTGATTGCTTGGTAAATGTAGGGTACTTGGAACGCGGTGCCTAGGCATCATTTCCATCCAAATACTCATGAATGCTATGGTACGTCCTTTCAAGCTCGATTGAGCAGCCCGAACAGCAGGTTATCCAGAGTTTTAAGGGACGATGGCTAATTCATGTGGGTAGCCATAATAAAAGGCTCCTCAGAACTTCTGATTGGGGTTGGTCCACTCGACACTGAGGCTGAAGGAGAAGTAATCCATGTAGAGTCAGGGGATGCTATCATATTACCTGCCGGGGTTTCCCACTGCTCCAAAAGCTCCAGCCAAGATTACAGATACTTAGGAGCTTATCCCAAGGTATTTTGAGCCGTACCCTTTTTGAGCCTCATACCTAACTATGTAACAAAGGACGCTCCCAAATGGAAGAACGAGTATGGTAGAGATCAAAGCCGGTTTAATTCATTGGTCCTGGAGTCCAGCTCTGTTGATATCCCGGACTGGGACCCTGTGAACGGTCATCTAGGTCCTCTTCAAAAGCTTTGGGCACTTTAGGTAACTTCCGGCTTGCTATCCGTTCGGAAAAAAACTTCATTTTTATATAGCTACTAAACTTATGTGGTGCTGGCGTTAGAATTGCCGAAACGTCTTTATAGCAAGGCTTCCAAACGCACATCTCACATGAAATTCGACAGAGGACGCCTGACATAATGAAGCATGCACAACTCAGTAGCGCTCTTAGGACAAGATCGTCCCATATTTTGCCAATTAGATTCGTGGTTGAAGAGAGTGTAAGGGAGGGGATACTTGCCAAACTAAGTTTTCGGCATCTTTCTCTTGGCCGCGACTCCTCAGCCGACCAGCATCTCAGAGGAGGGACGACGCCGACATCGCCAACGTATCCGGCGGGCCCTTCGGCATGGCTAATTGCCGCTTCGTCGCGGGGTGCAATGAGCTATGGTGACGTTGACGCCGAAAAGACCTCGACCTCGGAATCGGAAAGTTTCCGGCCTCCCACACCCACGGCAGAGCCTTATCAGGACTAGGTTTGAAGCTCATTAATAACAAGAGCTCCCTTCGGTTAGATAATAGACTGTCGCTTCTTACACCTTGATTTGTGTGCTATCATTTGTCAGAGAATCAACTCCTTGCCACCTTATTCTCCCCACCACCACACCAACCCGCCCAACATGTCTAGCTCACGCATCAACCGAGTCACCCTGTTCAAGATCCCCAATACCGAGGATCAGCAGAAGCTTCTGGCCATTTACAAGCAAATGCCTGCTAAGGCAGTCAAGGTATGTTCAATATATTCATCATTACTTCGGGGCTGGAAGCTAACGTTTACGTTGTAGGATGGCAAGCCGTACATTCTCTCAGTCACAGCAGGAACTGCCAAGCCAGACCAGCGCGCGCAGGGTTTCACCATTGCCGTGATTTCCGTCTTCTCGTCGGTGGACGACATGGTGTACTACGACAATGAATGTGCCGCGCACGCTGAACTGAAGAGTTTCGCAAAGACGGTTCACCAGGGCGCCATGATGGTGTTCTTCGAAAATGAGCTGTAAAAGTTTTATGATTAGATAAATATAAACATTGGAGAAAATTTACATACACAGTAATATCTACCGACTCGTCATAAAAAATTATTTAGGATAAATTGCCTCGGATCTGCTACATGAGACCTTGAAATCGTCGCGTGATTTCGCTCCCGTCGCCACCATTGTAATAGTCATTGCCGAAATCCGATGGGAACTGCTGTCCCTGCTCGAAAACATCAAACAATGCCATGAGGTCATTGCTCATTTGGAACATGTTGGGCGTTGTGCCCGCGCCAGCAAATTCAGTGCCAGAGTCCAGACCACCAGCCAACATTTCCATTCCAACCGGAACAATAACTCCCGGCTCCTCTCCGTACCTTTGCTCCTTCGATTCGCTTTGTTGGTTCAGACTACCCGCGCTATCCTCGCGAGCAGCTAACTCGTTTTGGCCGTTATTCTGCTCAACCTCACGGCCGTCCTCAGCCCCTTTCATTCCCAATCTCTTTAACCGGGGTAGTAGGCCTCGGATACTATTCCAGAGCCTGCGGCTGGCCTGGCTTCGACGAGAAAAATCTCGAACTAACTTGACTGCTGCGTGAAAACTGTTCCTGCATACTTCTGCAAAGACCTTGGGATCGTGGCAGACAGCTAGGAAAATAACCGCCAAAGCTGTTACAAGGAAGTAGTTGAATGCGGTCTGCTGCCGGCTGTAGATGTCTGAAGTTGCATTCAGATGCACCAGGACTTTTATACTGTCCTTGGCTATCTCGACAACAAGATAAGCGCTGTGAGGATCGGCTTTGATTTTTGCCGGGCTGAGTAGGTGGTGGCGGTAGATGAGTATCCTCGTGTGGTTACCGCGAAGATATAGAAGGGCACGCAAGCGGTGAAGCACGCGTGGCTGGGCACGAGCTGCAAGCCCGAGGCGTGGGTGTCGTAGTTGGAGGTCAGGAGGTATAGATTCCAGCCATTCCTGTGTCTTGAGATCCAATACAGCTGTGGTTTCTTCTGGTATGAAATTGGCCATGGAACCGAATGCCATGAGTGCTTCCCAAAGCTGGGAACTCAGACGTCCATAGCCTATCATGCATTTGAGGTATTGATAATCCGGACCCTGACAGGGGATATCAGCATACTTAGTCGTAATGAAAGGGCTGATGGTGGACTCTGCCTTGGGCAACTTACTGGTTCTGGAAGTTCAGGATCAATGTCCCGATCTACCAGTGCGAATGAAAGACTCGTGCCGAAGCTCCAACGACGATCGAGAACATATATGACCCAGAAGACCCTGGCAGCCATTGACCTCTGGGCCTCGTCGTGGAAGGACTCCAGTATGGTCGCCTTTCTATGAAGGCCCATCTCTAGTGCATCTCGTGCTGCCAGACCGATGGTACGCCAGGCAAGCAGGTCCTCATCAGAGTGGAAGTAATAGATGCTCTACTAGCAGGTTAGTATCTGGGTCTGAGTACCTATATCCAGGAGAGGATTTAAATACTGACCAAGATCACCAGGATCTGCAAGTCCTTCACATCGCCTGCTGGTTTTGATATCCTCGAAACACTGCGTTCAACTGATTCTACCATTTGAGTGCTATTCTCTCTTTTTCCATGCGCTTCAATGACGATGGCAATGGCGAGCGCCACCTTTGCAAGCTGAAAGTCTTTGTATGAAAAGTCCATTTGCCTGGGCTCTGACGCCACATCACTTTGCAGGGCAGTGTCGCTATTACGGCCGTACTCGAGGATCTTTGATGCGTTCGCCGCCAGATAACCGCTGTCAATGCAAGGATAAACCGATTCGACCTCTTCTTGAAACACCCCCAACAACCGCGATACCTCAGAAGTGTCACACCGTTGCCAGAATTCATAGTCTAGTGTGAGTGGCCCTCTAGATGGTTCGATTGGAGATCCAGGGCCACTCGGTGGCGGCATCTCGTAGGGAGGAATACCCATCCGTGTCAAAGATCTTTCACCGATCTCTATGCTGTATGCTGACCTCGTCGGGCCAACAAACTGAGGTTGCTTTGGGACGGTGATCCTCAAGCGAGGATCTCGTGGGGATGTTTGCCCAGTGGCAGCATTGCTACCGGACCTCACCGAGGCCGCAATCGAACGGGTATCCTCTCCATTCACTCGCGTCTTCAAGTCAGTCACTGTCGCAGCCAACTCGGCCATTTCGAGACGGAGCTGCTTCACCTCTTTGTCCAACGCCCATAGCTCCGCACTGCTATAATCGAAAGACTGTCAGGGCTAATAAAAATGGAAGAGGGGTTGGTGGATTGGGAGATTGAGTACTTTTCTGACTTGCCCTTGGCGGCGTTCGCGGCCTCTCTATGTGTTGGATACACGCAGGGCAGGCCTGATGATGTGCATCGCCGGCACGCATCTTCGTTCTCGCCAGGCAAACACTTTAACTTGCGCCTCTTGCACTCGTCACTGCCGGTTATGGTGAGCCATGGTCCGATAGCCGTTTGGGAGCGAACACATACCACGCAACAGCCGTATACTTGCCTCGCTTTGGGCGGCGGACAGCGTCTGCAGCGGGCGAAGCAGCACGCTTCTGCACTGCAGGATCCGCTTCAGCATCCACTTCAGCATGCTCAGAGCTCGTCTGCCTGCTCATGGCTGTGCCGGTGCCTCAGAACTCGCTGTGCAATCTGTGGTCTTGGTGGAGCCCGAGCTCAGCGGAACTGATTTCCACGCGCCGTGTCTCAAGCAAACAAGGGGCAGGAGAAAGGAAGGGATTCGACATTCCGAGGACGTGGCAGCATCCGTTTACTTATTGTTCCGAGCGTCGTACCCCGCAAATCTTGCAAATCTCGATTACCCCGGATCGGAGCCCATTTCCGAGCTTTCCGAGCCACCACGTACTGCGAGATCGACATGCTCCGAGGCCACAGTCGGCCTCTCATGCCTGAGAGAATTCAGCTGACCTTTCTCTCTGACGAACCCCGTGGGGCTAACCGAGTCTCATGCATTTGTTCCTCAGAGAGTGCCCCACCCGCCAGATATATGATGCCCAGTCACGGCGAGCTTCTCTTCTCACTCGGCCCAACAACCGCACCGCCTCTTCCCCTCCCTCCTGACCAGCATCACTCTACCACATTCTACAACTGTGATAGATTGTGTTCTTTCCTGAACCTGTCCCCTCTATTATCCAGTAGTCAATATGACTATCGCCAACTTCATCCTAAGCACCGCTGGCCGGTATAGGGATGACCCTGCACAATCCCTTCTTGTGACCCTTCTTTGTGCCCCGCTGGTGTACATCCTGGTCAATGAGCTAGTCAGAAAGAATGCCCGGCTGCAAATGAAAGGTCCTGTTGGCCTGCCTCTCATCGGTCATTTGTGGGATATCCGAGTCAATGCTGCTGAGAAGTATCGAGAGTGGTCACGCAAGTACGGTGAAGTCTACCAGATCCAGCTTGGCAATATTCCCGTCGTCGTCGTCAACTCTGCTTCTGCTGCTCGAGCCATCTTTGGCCAGAATGCCCAGGCCCTCAGCTCAAGGCCCGAGTTCTATACATTCCACAAGGTTAGTCTACCCAATTGCTGTGTGTATCTCGATCTGTGCTAACGTGAACTCAATCAAGGTGCTCTCCGACACTGCCGGTACCACGATCGGTACATCTCCTTACAGCGACTCTCTCAAGCGCCGCAGAAAGGGTGCTGCCTCGGCTCTCAACCGACCCTCCGTCGCGACCTACGTTCCCCATCTTGAAGTTGAGACCCGCGACTTCATCAAGGAGCTCTACGACTATGGTGATGCCGGAAACACCCCCGTTGATCCCATGCCCATGATTCAGCGTCTATCTCTGTCTCTTGCCTTGACTCTCAACTGGGGAACCCGTCTGAAGAGCCAAAAGGATAACTTGTTTGGCGAAATCACCCATGTCGAGGAAGAAATCAGCAAGTTCCGATCCACCACCGGCAACCTCCAAGACTACATCCCCATTCTCCGTCTCAACCCGTTCAACTTCCACTCCAGCAAGGCCCGCGAGATGCGCAACCGTCG